TTATTTTGGTCATGATGTCTTATCAAAGCAACTGATACATGGCTGTCCAGATCTATCTTGAGATTTCACTTACGGGGGTCTTAAGGAACATCCAAGTGAGTGTCTCCAGAAGCAGTGTACTTCTGCCCCCATAAATGAGCTTCTTATCTTCTGTTTCTCTAAAATCTTTGGGAAGATTCACCCGAAAAGTTTGGTTACCTAAATTAGTATGAAGGCATTCACACTGTCTATGGACAATGATGGTCTGTCCTAGTGTGGCCTGGATTTTGTGCTACAATCAGATACATACAGGTGCTAATAGGTTTTCTGTAATATGATTATATGTTCCTCTGTCAAGACAGAAAGCCAGATCAAGCAAAATTGGGAAAGTAAAAGAGCAGGTATATTTGAATAAAGCAACTCCCAGGTGAACCTTCTGGTCCCAGAGATTGGGGCCAGAGAAAGTCACACAGCTGCAGTAAAGCAGCATGCATACATACACTGCAGGTGCCCTCCACCAGCTGGGTTTATACCCAAGTATGATCAAAGCTGACCATTTTTGGCAGGTTCTTGGGCTGCTGGCAACTTCAGGGATGAAGCTGCCATAGCCACCAAGAATGGAGAACTGGACTTTTTGATGACTTTTCTTTGTTGGAGATTCTCTGAGAGGGTGGGATTTGGAGAGAGAGAAATGGGGCTTCCCACATTAAGCTGGAGTGAGTTGAAAGTTCCAGTCAAACAGTGCCCATCCTTCCTATCAAGCACGTTTCACCTTAGTCACAAGATAGGTCATGGTGAGGTTGTCTCCATCCCTGCACAGCGTTTATAAATTGATATGTATCTGGTCGCCATGTTAGGAATTATATCACCTATTCAAGTCATCCAGAGTGGTCCTATCCTGAGAAAAGAGCATAAAATGATTAAGGTTCATCACTCTGCTAACAAGAACTTCACCCAAGCTTGTCGAGATATCCCACAAAACACCAAAGCTTCAGCCACTGTGACACATCAAGGCAGGGCTTATATCCATTAGAACTGAAGAATGCATAAAAACACTATTCAACTATCTGGAACCAAAATCAACATGGCCTACTTAACTGACACCATGAGATACATATCTGAAATACTTTGCTATGAAAACTATCATATAAATTTGATATAGCCTGTTAGTACTCCAGATACACAAATATCAATGTATGGCTATAAGGTAATATGATATTTTTGGGAAAACAATAATTCAAAATAAAGATTTTTGAGGAAACTCAGTGAGATACCAGATGATACAGACAATCCATTCAAATTACAAAATATTTGAATAATATAATCCAGAGAGAGAGAGAGAGAGAGAGAGAGAGAGAGAGAGAGAGAGAGAGAATACGAGAAAAGGAAATAAAGAAAAATCTTGGGAATACGAACCTTCATATAAGGAGAATACAAATGAAAGTCCCTCTCCAAAAAGACTAAATTGAGCAGAAGAAAAAGAATCTGAGCTTGAAGATGGGTCTTTTGAAATAATCTAGTCTGAAAAAGAAAAAAAAATGGCAAAAGAAAAAGGAAAGACTGTTGGAATAGCATGAAACTGAATAACGAAATAACAAATATTCAACTGGCAAAGAAAAACTCATTTAATAAAATAAAAATATGTATTTTTTCCAATTTTTAAAGATCTGGACATCAAGTTCTAGGAACTTGGACAGATTGTATTTGAGGTACCTTATATTAAAACTACCAAATGTCCACATAAAAACTAGTTATAAAAATATCAAAATTTCATAGCATCTTTATTAATCTATAGGTGAATCTATAAGTTAAGTAAAGTTCTATATTGTACTTTAGTTAACTTAGCTTTGGCTTTCTCCATTTTTATGTATACTGTCACCATTCCTTTCAATAATATTTTCATGGAATATTACCAATATTCTTTAATATCACCACTAATAAAAATATAAGAGTAGTCCATGGCAATTATTGTTATTATGTGCTAGGCCCCATTTTACCTATCTTACATATATTAGCTTATATATTTCTCACCAGAACCATGTGATCCCCATTTAACAATTAAGGAAACTGAGGATAGATTTGTTTGGTGTTAAGTACAAGCTCATACAACGGGCATATGGTAGAAATGAAATTTGACTTCAAGCAGTTGGGCTGACATAGCCAGAACAGCCCAGTAGACAAACGTGCTTGCTATACAAGCAATTTCCTAATTTCCATCTCAGGCTCTACAGTAAGGAGAGAACCTACTCTAGAAAGCTGTCCTCTGACCTGATACATGCACTCTCACACTCATGCACCTGCACAACTGGGAACATGCTCAAGCTTGCACAAGCATATGTGCATGTACACACATGCACACAAATGATAATAATAGAAATAAATTTGAGGGGGCTAATTTTTGGAGATGTTAGGGTTTCTTTTTGTTACAGTCCTACCAGTCATGGAACATGTTCTGTAAACCAGGCTGGCCTTGAACTCACAGAGATCTGTCTGCTTCTGCCTCCTAAGTGCTAGAATTCAAAACCTGTACAACCACTGCTCAGAATAATTAAATTTTTTTAAACTTATGCCCAAATTTTCCAAGTACCCTGCAATGCTCCATCTCCACCACCCAACCTTGCAAGCTATGGAGTCACACACACTAAACACACAAGACAGTATTTTAGCCAACTTCTGGTGGGTGGGGAGGGGGGGGGACAGAGCATCTCTGCTAAAATCATAGCCAAATAAAGCTTTAGTCTAAAATCTAAAAAACAAACAAAAATATCAAGAGAAAAGTAAAAAGACTTACAATAATATCATCTCCATTATATTTATAACATATTTGTCAACAGAAACCTTACAGGAAAGAACAGAGTAGGATGATACTGTAAGACTTTAAGACAATCCTGAAGCCATTTTTGACAATTCTGAATCTTCTCAGCCTCTGTGCCATAGTGCTTCCCCTCCTCCCCTGGGAACCAAAGACCTAACAGCTACACTCGCACATACTCAGTTCCTGAACAATTACCCATACATGTATGCTTTGGTTCGGTCCCCTGGGAAATGGGGTCAAAATGACCTCT